GTCCTATGCGTGTATTTACAACTGATCACTTGGTCGTGAGGGGAAGGCACACTGCTGATGCATGCACATTCCTCTTTGGTGTCAACTGCGGGGAAAATGCCGGCTCAATATTCAACAGCCAAGATGACATGCTGTGATTTGTATAAATGGTAACGGCTACACAATATTTTGATTTCACTTGTTATGGGGAAATTAAAATTAGACTGGGAAAAAGTCAGCAGACAACTACCATTCTCTCTCTCAACTCCCCTCCTTCAATATTTTTGTAGTTCTAGTACATGTGATATTTTCATGACAATGATATTCTCATACACTTAGCAATGTGTTGTTCGTTCTTTTTAGTATGACCCGTGTTATTAGCGTGTGTATGCGTGGGTAGGTACGTAACAACGTGGCGAATGTACTTACCGAGAGAGTCAATGAAGTCTTTGTTATTCTGGTAAAACTTGACGTAGGAAGCCAACTTTGCACTTACAAATATAGTTAACAGCTGTAAAAGAGAAGAAGAGCCGTCAACTTCTTCAGTGGAGAAAAATTCAAGTCAAAAGTAATTGTTTATTGTCATATGAGACAAGTTTAGTTTAACAAGCCATGTTGGATGAGGGATTTGTAGACTACACAAGGCAATATCAGATTTTAAAGATTCCACAGCATGAAAGAACTGCACATCGCAAAACTCACGTCGTGGATGAGCTCTCCTTCCAAGAAGCGAACTGGCTTGAGAGTGAGCAGGTGGTCAAACAGGAAAGTGTTGGGGTCTTTTAGAGCTCGGACAATGCATCTAAAGAGAACAAAAGGGAGAGCAATGTGAAGGACGTGCAGTGAAAATGAATGGGACCACACGAGGGGAAGGGATGCAAATTTACCTGTGGGCATCAACGCGCGCTTGAGATGCATTGTCTTCTGTGTAACTTCCCAGTAACTCCACCATCACTTTGGCTGCAGCCTCACTGTCAAATCAGATACAGTGATTCCGTTTTGATGGACAGCTCTCTGACGTTTTTTTAATGTGTGTAGCGCATGTCTTTAGATCGTGGAGGTGTACCTGAATGAAAATTTGACTGAATGTGGACAAACTTGCTTATCTGCCTGATTGGCTCTCATCTCTATGGCTAAATATGCAATTACCTTTTTTTGCAGTCCACCAGTGCTTCGTAGACCAGCCTCAAAAGAGTGTGCTTCTTCTCTGTATTCAGGTTCCAATCTACAATCCACTTGGCCACCTAATTGACAGGATGAAGAGAATCAAAAAGTGAGTTTTCATGAGATGGCAAAGATATCAACAAGTGGGACTGAACGTGCCTGGTCAAGGTCAGTGGGGATGAAGGCGATGGCGTTGCAGGCGGCTGCCACCTTGATGAGGCTGCATAGGACTGTATACCTGACTGGAGCATTTTCATCCATGCCATGGAACAGATTACTTAGCCTAGAACACAAAAACAAAAAGCATTTCAAATGCATTCGTGATGGTGCCTTTCCTTACATTAGTTTAGTGTATTCCATTGTATAAGTTTTTGAACAATGTATGATCTCAAACAGTGTCTTCTGCTCCAGAATATGCTATTGTCTTCCACTAATACTTCCAAATCCATCACTGCAGAGGAGAAGGTTTTGGAGCAAAAGCCGCTATTATTATTGACTTGGAGTGGAACTATGTATAGGACCGTTTTCTGTTATGATACAATATCTATACACCGGCATCAAATATCGTCAGTGATTGATGCTATTCGATGAGTACCAAGTATGCACAGGAACAAATCGTCCCATTATCTGTCAATAATGGATATATAACATAATTCCACAAGAATTATCCATCAATCCATTTTTTTTCATGGGTAAATTGGAAAGAGGTGGAGTACACGCTGGACTGGCTCCCTGTCAATCTCAGGGCACATTTATCCAAAGAAGCAAACTCACATATGCACTAACCTAGCATGTATGTGTTTGGAATATGGGAGGAAGCAAGAGTAGTTGAAGAGATTGCAAGCCCAGGGGGGAAATGCAGACTTCACATAACCAAGTTGGTGTTTTTTTTTCTCTTCAGCCTTTGACCACCACATTGTTCTAATGTTTATCTTTAATACAGGTTCTGCACTGTCAGCAATCTCCTTACCAGTAGTTTCCACATATCAAGGAATGGTTATTTTAGCTTTCAGTAGCAGCTAAGAACACGTGTGTGAGACTTCAGAAAGCAAAAAGTTCAGAAAATGACTCACAACTGCATCCTGAGGGAAGGTCTCTCTCCTTCACGGAACTTGACAAGTTTCTCGCACAGACTCTCGATGAGAGCTTCTTGCTTCTCTGCGTCCAAGATCAACAGCAGCGATACGATGCTGTTCATCACACTCTCCACATCTGTGGGGATGGAGATACACCCACACCCACACACACATATGCCCACCTCCGTGTTATTTGCTGTATGGTGAGGCTGAGGCTCACTTGTACCAGTTTTGTCTGAACAGAGATTGGTCAGCATGTTTTACACGATTAAGGTGTCTTGGACGACTGCTGACCTTTATCATCGTCTTTGAGACAAACATCACAAGCCTCAATGATCTGAGCCAGGTCGACGTGAAGTCCACCTTCAGAGTTCTCCTCGGAGATTTCCGCTCCTTTGGACTTGATGTAGGCTCTCAACTCGGAAGCCTTTGAAAATGTGCAAACATTAAAAGCTGATATTTGGTTGAACTTGAAAACATATGTCCCGTCTTTTGTCTAATTTGTGTCGATGTAGCAGCTAACGTAATTATCTCATCAAGCGTCGTTGACATGGGTAAGCTGCACAAAACTACGATGTCAGATAGTTAACAAAGCTTGTATTTAAAGTCAATTCGATCGGATATGTTCCACCCGATTCTTGCGGTTATAGTAACTACCTCTCCGCTGCGTTTTACCGTGTTAGCTTAGCTCGCTAATCTTTCTGGTTAAATATTAGGAATTAACGAAGTCATCAGCAGGGAGAATGAGAATAAAACAAAGATATTGATAACAAGGCGATACCTGGTCGTCTTCCGTTATATCGATGAATGCCGGGACGCTCATTTTTGTTGTTTTTGTGCGCCTCGGTGACAAGACACGCTTCCACTAGGGTAGACCTGACCGGAAAAGAAAAAGGCAACAATGCCGATGAGAGATTTTACTTCCGGGTCATTATTCTTAAAGCGACAGTGCTCACAGAGCCTTCCCTCTCAGCCTTGGGGTTTCACAAGCGTTTTAAATTATGTCCCGCCTTTATTACAGGGAATTGTTTCCACTTAATTTCGTCCTTCCAAATTTATGACTAAATCCCCACATATCGCTGCTGGATAGCTTCAGCTAATGTTCCCTTAGCCTCAAAGGTCAGCCAACCTCTTAAATTTGATGTCACCCAGACTTCCACACTGCATCCCTATCTTTCATTCTCTCCTCTCCAGATAGCCATCTACTCTCTCTGGGAGATTAACCCTGGATGACTTGGATGAGAGTTACTGAGGTGAAACTGATCCCTGAAAGAGAGGTTATCTAATGGAGCTCCGGCCCATCTGCGTGGACCACCATCGCGGCCCGTTCCAACCCGGAAACACCATCAGTGTCAAAGGGCAAACACCCTCCACCGTAGCCCCACTGACCTGTGGGCGCACGTGGTCTGCCTCTGTGCCAAGCCCGATCCTGTGTATTGTTACAATGGCAGGTCACAGGGTGATAGAAGTGAGTGGGGTGCAAAGGGTAAGTAGAGCAAGAGTTCACCCTAAAAACGACGGAGTCGTGTTACAAACATCTGAAAGGTGCTGCACAGGCTTCAGTCCCAGAGCGAAGATACCGAAGTTGTTTTCAGATGCATTGCTTACAGTTCATTTGTCACCGAAATTCGGGTATTTTTAGGACTCACTGGCTACCGAGGTATATGCGAAGTCATTATTCCCTGAAAGAGTTCTTGCCACATCTTTCTCGTTGTGCTTACAGTTAAGGAACTGAACTCACTGTAGTTAGTCTTAAAAAAGAAAAAAAAAGAGGGGAAATGGCTGATGGAGGATTTCACCATCATACTCGCACAATGCGTCATCTTGTTGGGAAGGCAAGTGCCTGGTACCAAATCCCACCCTTACTCTCTGTTGCCCTTGTATGCTGTCACAGCAAATAATTTATAGATACTTCTCCACAAGTGTGCTAGTGTAACACGGCGCCTTTCATTATCTGATTAATAACTGTTGTCAAGTGCCTGGCGTATTTTAGGTCCTGATATTTTTTTTTCAGCTTTGAAGCTCCAGGTGTATATGAGAACTGTTGAGTCTTCTTTAAAATGCTTTTGCAGTGTTACCTTGAATACAAGATCTAATATTTATAACATCAATATGTTGAGAAAAAAAAACACTTTTGTGTTTTCAATATGTCTGGTAGAACATGTGTTTGCATTGCAATAAAAATACATGGTTCAAGGGTCAAAATGTCACCATCCTAAAAACTTTATTTAGCGTTCAGGGTGTTTTCAGTACCAGTAATAGTCTTACATTCTTAACATGCATACACAAAAAAAGCCTCTCACTACACTAACACTCCTAAATGAAAAGAAAAAAAATGGTTACCCACAATTACTCATAAGTTTTGTAGTATATTTTTGTCATTGTCGCTTTTTCTCTGACTTGCTTTGCTCAGACTGGTCCTTTTATTATTTCAAACAATTGTCACAGAAGCCACGAAAATCTCGAGTTCAAAGTACATGGAAGGAAGGACGCAATAGAATGAAGGCCATTGGCAATGATCACTTTATTCATTCACTGCCCTCATGTATTTTGGCGACTTAGACAGTCAACGCTTTGCTTTTTCCCCATAGCTGCATTCAGTCATTAATTCTTCGAATCGCTTCTCCTCACTAGGCAGATATGAAATTATAAATACTGTATACACATTGTTGTAAACACAGTATATGCATATGATACAAGTAATGCAGTACTTCTCACTTATTTTCTGTTATGCCCCCCAAAGTAAGAAGAAAATATTTCGCATCTAACGCCAGCCCCCTTCCAACTCTCCGCCGTGACTGTAAGTAGGGTCATCTGTCGCTAAAATTGCGCTGTGTACATCTCTGCAAAATAATGTATCCTTGGTAACATTAAGGAAACAAAAAAATGAATATAAATCTGCTGGATAACTTTATTAATATTGTTTATACTCCATGCACACAGTCTGAAAATGACAGTGCCACTGCAACCTACTGTAGTGGGTGTGCAATTACACTTTTTTCTAGTACTGTATGTCCAAAAAAAAAAAAACCAAAGCATGTTCCATTGGGTAATTGAGGTGGCTGGCTGGATCTCGCTTCATAAATGAAAATCAAATTTTTGTGGTGAGAGCTCATGTTGTAGAACATGGCGTTTTTGATTGACCATTACATCTGCAACATTGTGACTGTGTTCACCTTTGATCACAAAACTAATGGCCCATATTTGGCCATTCATGAAAACTAGTTGCAGATCACTGTAAACTGTTCGGACGGTTCAGATGCGCCCAGCGGCTGCAATATTTTTACAGGTATTATTATAAAGTAATGATTCAATAGCAAAATGAAAGCCCGTTTCACATTACTAAAGAATGAAAGAGTGCTGTCTACAGAGAAATTATATTGTGTGAAGTACACTCCTGTTTCTCCCCCTGTCAGTTAGAATTAGTCATGTTTGCTTGACTCTACATTTCCACTGGAAAAGAAATTGAAATACAGAAAAAAAGCACACCAGAAAGACAGACTACTGCAGTTTTCCTGCTATGTCTTTACTGTACAACCTAACCTTTACCACGATGAAACCTGACCAGTGCGGTCCTCAGAGGATTAGTTGACAATTACACCAGCCCCATGTTTTCAGTAATTTATGTCTGGTGAAATCTTTAAGTACAATTCGGCGGAAGAGCAGTTGTCATTTGCCGTCTGTCACGCAGTCTGCTTGATGATGTCAGTTTCCCATTTGATCGTAAAACTGTGATTGGGAAACACAACATTGCCAAAGACACGCCTTTATGCAGGGACAATATAATGTTCAATGAAATCCAAATTTCAGCATGTACCTCTCTCTTTGAGATAAAACAGTACGAACATTTCGTATCACAATTATAGCAACCGTTTGCACTTTTTGCACGCTAGAAATGATAAACGGCAGCAATCAACATTAATTTTCATTCTTGCAAGGCCCCAAATAATGTGGGGGGCTTTCACACCTGGAGTTTGTTTTCTCTGGTTCCAGTCAGTCTATATATTGAATGCTCAAATGGCTTGCCACTTACTAATCTAAATGTAGTATAAAAGTATTGCTTTGGCACCATATTTCTGTCAAGGAACTACGTTGAAGTGAGTGATAGAAATTCATGTAATGCTTTGGTGCAATCTTCTGGAGTCTACGCAACCGTAAACTGGCGCTAATTATGGATTTTCACTATTTGTGGGCCACGGCAGGTCTCCATCCCGATTCCCCACAAATTGCGGAGGAACACTGTACTTGCCTCACTCTCTAGCCGCTTGTAAACAAAGACAATGCAGCTTTGCCTCATGCTGTATGACGTCATAGGATGTGATATGCTTTTGGCAGTATGTCAAATGAATTACAAACCACATTTAAAAATACAATATACATATGTCAAGGCAGTTTTTTTTTAAATAAATCTTCTTGATTTCGCTGAACTTCTATGAAGGGTGTTGCGATTTAACAATGGTGACAGCTACCACTGCGACAGATACATTATTAACAATAATTACAATTCCAGGACTATTGTCACAAAAGATATGTTTCAAATCTAAATCACAAATTAGAATTTTCTCCCTGCAAAGTAATACTCTTCGATACTCAAACGAACCTTTTCAGCCTTCTATGCAAGGACTTCATGCCCTCCTGGAAGGAGTTTTCCTGGATTATCCGATGTTCCGTTGTCACGGCCATCTTGATGTCATCCACATTTTGATGACCCCCTTGAGCTTGGGAAAGAAGGGAAAAAAAAATCTCACACAAAGTCATGTTGCGTCATTAGGGAGGTCGTACCAGCATGGTGATGACATTCTGGCCCAGGAACTGTCGGATGCTCAGGTGCGTTGTCATGGTGAAGCAGTTGCAAGTTGTCCTGCCACAGCTGTTACCTCTTCCCACAAAGTGAACAAAGCAGCCACTGCAGGATCTCCTTGTAGACGTGCCGGTTGATCATCTGACTCACACTGAAGTGGAAAACTCGTAGTTTATAGTTTGGGTTTGAAATAATACCTTTTGTGACAGCGGTCCTGGAACTTTTCTCACATACTCCATATGCTGTTGCACATTTTATCAGTAAACCGGTTCACCCCTTGTACCGCAGTTTTAGTTTCTATGACCACAAATCATTTGTGTTGTCAGTGTGTTTGATAACATTGTACATTGTAATTATAATTAAAACCACAACAAAAACAACATCAGACAGGCGTGAAGCTCACCAAAGCATGGCAGTGACAGGGGGACGCCAGGGGCTGCTGTAATTCCCCTGGAATACCAACAGCACCTCTGTAGTGGTTATTCTTTTCATGTTTATGGCAAATTGCCCACTTGGCCTCCTACAAGATAAATGACTGTGTATTAAGAGTCTGTTGAGCCCAGGTGCGGCGGCTCTCGCTGTCTGCCGTCCAAGCGGCGAGTATCCATGTAAAGCAGCCTCATGGTCATCGTCCAACATGGCCGCCTACCTTCCACCCACTAATTGTCTGGTTCCCACAGTTCTGCCTGCCTTCACCGCCTCTGAAAAATCCCCCTCGCTCAGGCTCATCTATCAGTCAGTGACCTTGTCAGGATGCATTGCATGACTTGCTTTGTGCTTCCCAAGGTGAGGCCGATTGCTTGTTAATTACTTATAAGATGAGCGATCCACCCCCCACGCCCCCACCCCGGCCCCCCGCCTCCTTGCAAGCATGCAAGCCGTTGCACAAGAACAACAAACAAATACTGTCGAAGATGCCTTTACTGCCAAGGACTAATTTATGGGACCTCAAAGCAGCATAATTATTTTTTAAAGCTTCATGTTTAAGCCAAAAGAAATACTTTTTAGTTGTGAATTGTGTTCTGTCATGATGATTTGATCGTCGCCATCATAATCAAACCCATATCAAACAAATCATTACCAATGACCCAAATGAACACAATAGGCATGAATTTATTACAACAAACACATTTTGTTTGTTTGATGATCAATAGAAATAGATTACAGCATTTATTATAGCCAGTGACATGTTGGGAACGGCTGGTTATTATTACTCGGCTTAAGTATGAGTCACGACGCTGTGTACTTGTTTAGATTATTTTGTCTTGTCCTTGACAAGTCACAAAAAGGAAATGTAGCACCCACCTTTGGAAAACCTCAAACACTTTGCAAATAAAGACAACTTTTATATTTTTCTCAAATAAGTCATTGCTTATCAGCACGTTCACTCTTAAGCTGTAAACATGCAACTCCGACAACTCCAAATCTCCAATTTTCATAAAAGGAAATCATTTATCATACAGTGGGGAGCAACCTCCAAGGATGAATGCAATCTTTTCCGAGATTCTGGACCACCTTTGATTTGTGCACACTTCTCTTTTTGGACATATTGGATTCCTAAATATAACAACTGTAATTAAATAAAAGAATATATAAACAATAAAACATCATCCATCAGAAACTTAATAAAAATTTGCGGCTTGCTCATTGGAAGGAAAGTCATATTGGTTTTTAAAAAATCCTCAAATTTGGGTCAAATAGTGATCGTGTTTCATTTTAGGGAATCCAATATTATTTTCAAGGTAAATTCTGTTTTCATTTTCCAAGCTTTTGCAACTCTTTAAAACCAGCTATGATTTTCTATCTGGCTAGTCTTGAACCTGCGACCTTATAATAGTTTGACGCCTATCTATATCATTTACTCCTCTGATAGCTTCTAAGTCCTTGTGATTAATTATCTGCTCCACCTTCTCGTATTCAGTCAAGCAGAGTTATGATCAGAATCACCCACGATGCACTCTAAACGTCCATTGACACCAGGCATTCAGCTAGAATTTTATGACTCTAGTACGAAAATTTGTACAAAAAAAACCCCTGCTCCACTCATGCCATATCACTTAGCTTCATATCACTGACAGCACCACGGTGATCAATCATGGCAACTTTGGGGTCGTTCATCCCCCAACGTGGAATGTGGGTCATGCGTGCTCTCGTTCAACCTCATGGCAGCTGCGAAAAAAAAAAAAAAAGGGGAGTCAATGCAGTAGGACCGCAGCTCTCTCTGTGATGGAGCGACCTCTTGTCATCAAACGGTGTTTATATTACGCACACTCACTGGCTTGTACAAGTGTTAAGATGACATAGTTAAACAACAGTTAGCATCCAATTCATCTGAATTGAAACCAAATGATGCCACGACTGTGTAATACTAATTAGAGGCATGTTACATTCCATGACCTTTCACTTTTCAGATAACAATACAGGCCATCTCATCCGAGTTGATGATGTCGGACAGAGGTCCTCAATAGGTGGATTCTTGTCCGACTCCGAGACCAAGTTGCCTTTCTGAATGGATCAACCACTTGATATTACATTAATTTGATCAACATTTGTCATATAAAATGACTTATCAGCTTTTGTTTTCATTACAATAGTAAACGTAGGAAATACACTGACCATTACCATGTGCTTTAACTCCTCCCACGTGACGCACCTCAGCCAATGAAATCCACATATCAGATTCGTGGGTAAAATCAGTGGGTGCGTTTGAAACGGGTGGAGTCTGGTCAATTGGTGAAGAGAGAAGTCTCAAGAAAAGTGGAAAAGGGGGGGAAGTGGAAAAGGGGGATTGCAGGTTTTCAGCTGTTAATATTACTTCCGATTGTGTATACGTGCAATATTTTTGCAAATAATCGATATCATTGCAGAACAATATTACTTCTTAAAATAATCCTTTGGATGGTAATGACAAATTATGTGCTGACTAAATTCAAATGTAGGCCATGATGTTTGGGATGTCGCCTTGAAGAAATGTTCTTTAAGTTTTAGTTGGGGGGCCCCTAATGTAGATTATTTTATGTTGGAGAACAGATTGCCATTAAATGGCATCTTTCAAAAAAAAGGAAATGAAGGATCCAATCTTAGGATCCAAACTAGGTCAAAAGATGAGATTTATAGCAACAAACATATTTTCAGAGATTATTCGCCTGCTGGAATTCTCAATTCCACGCTGACGTTAGTTATTTTGTACGCTTCTCCCTATCATTGCACTCACATGTGAGTCATCACGTCCGCGTTTGCTTGTCCTCACGATGAGGCTTGCGGTGGATGACAGCCGATGCACAGTAACCGCTGGAGATATGCGCAATGTTTTTGGTGTCCTGCTGACGCCCTGCTGGCCGCAGCTGCTGCTGGGCGTGACAACACGAAAGAGGCGGCAGTTTACTGTAAAGTGCTGATAACGGGCTGGCCTTGAACGTGACACACATGCACCTGCTGGGATGAGACATGGATTATCACATTTTCGCATTTTTTCCTGCAAGTGTCGAACTATATAAACTTTAAAAATGCTTTCAGTCAGCCAGATCATTTTTTCATCATATCAATTGTTTACACAAGGCCAGCAATAAGTTATTTCTCTTGGACACGTTTAGATTATTGTTCTGCTCTGGGTTTTGTATTATTATCTGACTTTTACTCCACTTTGTTTGCAGAGGTCCATTGCAAAAGCTGCATAAAAATGCTCAGTTACGAATTATACTGTTCAAAAGGTTTTCATTCTTACAATGTTTTGGTGGAGACCGAAACTGCATCATAATGTGAGCTGTCATTAGTAATTTCATGGCCTTTCTTGTTGCAGATTAGAGGGACAGAGTATGAGAGACACCTCTCAGTATGATGAAGTTATTTCCACACTACTGCAAAATAAGACCATTGTTGAATGAATGCCCCTCTGAAAGTGGAAAAAAAATGAGCATTATATTTTGAAAGGCTGCTATTTTTCTTTTTTTTTAATATAACTGTTCAATAAATGACATGGTTTGGATGGAAATTAGGTGTTTGTAAAACTCACAGTTGAAATAGCATAATCTCTTATACAGTATTTCCAGTATATATTTTTGTAACATCTAACTCCAGAAATGTTAATTTTGATTTTTTTTTTTTTTTTAACACCGCCACAGAAGAGTACCAGTGATGCAAGCATGATGATAGCCAGATTCAGAGTGCCACACCCAGGAAAGTCTGCCAGCTCAGTTACTCAGCAATAGAATTACTTTTATATGAATTACATAGAAAAAACAATTGACCAGACTGGCTAAAAAAATACATGTAGCTGAACACTAATGTCTGATGACGACCATCCAAATAATCAAAGAGCCACTTTATAATGTGTACAGATAGTGTTCACCTTTGGACATTCCATTGGACTTGGGTAAACAAGAATCGACATTATGCCTTCATTTCAGTGCAAATATTTTACCAGAAACAAAAAGCTATTGCACTCAAACACTACAACATTATTTATGTGTTTATTGGACATAAACTGAAGGGAGGAATATCGGGTTTCGTGATGGAACTTGACGGTGAAGAGAAACAAACAGCAGAACAGCGTGTGTTAAACATCAGTCGACTAGTGTTGTGTCTGACACATATAGTGTGGAGATACTCACTCTCCCACAGATTGTTCTTCTCTGCGTCTTATCACCGCTTCTGATATGTGACTCTTTGAAGAGTGCTCACTGTTGATAGTGGGGGGAAATAGAAATTAAAAAAAAAAATTGCATGGCCATGCTTGTTCATTAAGGAAAATGAGGAACAATGACTATCCTGTTTGATGAAAGCACTTGAAAGGTGCTTAGACCTCCTTAATATGAATTTAAAATTACAGATTTATTCCGTTACCCCACTTGAATGTTGAAGATCATCATACATACACTACATATAGATCAGACAAAGACAACAAAAATATTCAAGTTACCTCTCCCTGTGTGGAAAAAGTACTTGCCTCCCTTGTTCAATCATTGATTTATTGTGGCTACTGGCAAATCACATTTCTTAGTTCATTTTCACTACGGCCAAGCCTGACTACCTCCAGACTTGTTCACTCAAGAAATCACTGAAATAGAACCTGTCTGCCAAAATGAAGTCGGCCAAAAGATCTCAAAAAGCTGAAACAAAATGGCATGATCCAAAGAAATTCAAGAACAGATTAGAAATAAAGTAACCGGCATCTATCAGTCTAGAAAGGATTACAAAGTCATTCCTAAAACTTTTGAACACTAGCAAATCAGAGAGCTATTATCCACCAATTTAGAAAGCATAGAACAGCAGGGAATCTTCCCAGAAGTTGCCAGTCTCCAGAAATTAACCCAAGGGCACAAGCGATGACTCATCCAAGAGATCACAGGAACCCAGGACAATGTCTAGAGAACTGCTGGCCTCCCTTGCCTCAGTTATAGTCATGACTCAACAATGAACGAAAAAACTGGGAAAAAATTACATTGATGCCACAGTTCCAAGGCTAAAATCACTGCTGATCAAAAAGATTATAAGGCTCGTCTTACGTTTGCCACACACACCTGAATGACTCCCAAGACTTTTGGCAGAATATTCTATGTAATGACAAAATAATTTTTTGGAAGATATACTGTATGTCTCATTACATATAGCATAAATATAACACAGTCTTACATTATACCAAAGGTCAATCATGGTGGGTGTAGTGTGATGGTCTGGGGCTGCTTTGTTTCTTCAGGGCCTGGATGACTTACCGTCAATTCAGCTATTTACCTGTAGGAAAATCTTTGAACATCAGTTTCTGACCTCAAACTGAATCTCATGTATGTTCTGTGTCACAACAGTCCAAAATTCATTGGGCAAGTCAACTTTTGAATGGCTTAAAAAAAAAAAAATGAAGATTTTGGAGTGGCCTAGTCAGAGTCTAGATGTGAATTCTGTCATAAGTTTTAAAAGGCTATTCATGCTCAAAAACCCTCCATTGTTGCCCAATGAAAGCAGCTCTGCAAGGAAGAGCGGGCCAAAATATCTCCACAAAGATGTGAAAAACTCATTGTCAATTATAACACATTTTCACTCAATGCCATGTAGGTTTGGATTTTCTTTCATCCGTAACAATGAAAAAAACCTTAACTCTGTTATTTATTTTTTGATGGTGGGAATCATTTCAATGTGACAAACAAACAAACAAAAAAATAAATCGGGAAGGAGACAAACAATTTTTCATACCGCTGTATGTCACTTGTCTTTTGTCTGCATATTTAAGACCAAAACAACACCTGCAGATTTGCCTTAGCACTGCATCTATTTTAAAACCGATGACTGGTGGTTTTAAAATGGCTGTCATGTTAAACCACAAGTGTTTTTGCTTTGGAAAAAAAAAAAAAAGAAAAACTGCAAGAACAGCCTGTCTTTCCATGCATGTGAACGGATTTGTGCTCAAATACAGAAAAGTAATGTCTTTTTCACGTGTCCCGGCAGGTCACATATCGCCGTAGTTTATCATTGGCTTTTTGGCTGAGACAAAGCCTACTCCAATTCCCTCACGGCGCTGGAGAAAGTTCGGCTCTTGTGTGTTTATTGTTAAGGGTCACGGCTAGTAGTGACCGTTTGCCTTCCTCTCCGTTCTGATGTTGTTTTAAACCCAGAGTTAACCACATAGTGATCTGAAGAAGAATGGGCATATTTGGGGACCGCCATCCGTCATTTGGGCTGAAGGGCTTGTTTTCTCTCTGACCAGTCACCTCTGATGAATCCTCACTAAATACTCCGCTGGGGAAGGTATGGCCAGCGTTTGCCTTGGCTTAGCAGCAAATATTTTGGCCAGATTTCCTCATTTGTGCCACAACCTTTGGCTCTCATAGAACATTATTTACGGTCCTTGTTTGTTTATCATGGGTGGACCCCGGAAGTTTTGGCTGCTGTTAAGGGAGAAATATTTTTTCTCCACTTCCATATATAAGTCAGCTATGTGGACATCCTCTGAACGTTCGGGTGTTTTTCTGGGATATGACTTAGGCTCTGTACTAATTCCCAGAATAAGTCGGAGAGAGAATTTTGTCTTCGTGAGAATCATAAAATATGCAATTCGCTTTTGTGGAAATGGAATTTATATATACATACACTGCTGGCCCAAACACTACCACGGTTTTATCATACCTTAACACATTTTCCGACATGCGTCTGGGAGATTTCAAATGTGTGTTTGCAAAATCTAACTGGCCTTGAATGTTTTTTTTCCTGTCAGAGGTCGCCGCAGCTAGTCGTTCACATGATTTGTTTGGCACAGTTTTTACACCGGATGCTTTTCCTGACACAACTCTCCCGTTATCATCCAGGCTTGTGACTGGCAGTGACTGGGTATTGAGGCACTCACCGGGAATGGAACCAATGCTGGATATCGGTCGACCACCACACTACCAGTCAGGTCGCCTTCTCCTGACTGATAATGAAATCCTTCTGATTGGACCACAGCTTATGCTGTAAGATGGGTCCCCAAAAATGTCAGGGAAAGCCTACTAGAAGAGTGGAACTGTTTAACATAAGTTTGAATGCAATTGTTTAATTCTGAACAAATTAAAATCCTCCTTAGTAAGAGGGTGTGCACACTTGTACAACCACATTTTCCCCAGTTAGTAATTTTTTTCATTCCTCAAACATTTTTTTATTTATTTGACGGTGTGGAATTTGAATGCCCTCCCGAGGGCTCCAGCACTCTCGTGAACATCAGCTGCTCGGATAATGGATGGATGGATGTGCAGTATAATTATTGGAGAAATGATTCCTGTAGGAGGCCTGAAGAAGGAAGTTGTGAGTTATTAATTTTTGAAGGAGTGTGAGTTGATTAAATGTATACTCTCTTCTACTTCTTTCACTCTTTTCATTTATGTGAATTGCATGGTCATGTAATTTAAATTTCCGTGTTCAAAATAATTGATGAGAGTTTAGTTACAATTCCTTTGGTGATGAACACAAATAGAGGTGAAAACGTTATGAATTATCCTTATGCGCAAAATTTTTGATCACCTGGCAAACCTCTGCAGGTTGAATGACTTTCCGTTAAACATTTATTACTTTGATTCCTCAAGCTGATTGTTTTTTTCTTTTTCCTTATTTGCAGTACAGAAAAAAACCCCTAAATTCTAAAAACACTGTGTTAGACTTCCTGTTACTGACACAATGTGCATCTCCTTACTTCATCCCATTATGAAAGTATGATGAAAGTTTGATATGTTTCAAACTAAAGGCATGAATCAGAAGCACCACAGGCTTGAGGTCAGGGTGTGTTTTGCATTTTGTGATTGCGTCAGTTAAGAGTCTAAACAATCAAAAATAATCACATTTTGATTGTTTGGACTCTTTATTGAACTGTTTTTATTTTTTTTTCATGAAAACCTGATCAGAAGCAAGTTCCAAATAAGTGAACCAAAAATTATTCAAAATGATCACATTTGAGGAGAATTATTATTATTATTATTGTTATTTTACTTTGAGCAGTTTTAACCTTTTTCTTATTCTTTTGAGAGAACCCACTTATTCATCTTCATTGACACAAACATACAAAGTGAGCCCCACTTGAACTTGGCCAAACCAATACAAGTGTGTGGTTAGTCAGAGGCTGCTGAGAAGTCATTGAGGGTCAGGGCAAGGCGAAAACCTTTCTGACTCCGCCCCCGATCTGTGTGACTATAGCCAGTATTTGAGTCTTCGGGGGGGCCAAAAGAAAGCCAGTTGTAGAGGCGCAGGAACGAGGCTGTGATACCCTCACACACACTCCCACTCACTGCACATACAGAAGGGAGGCAGGCACACCTCCATTTTGGTCAGCGTCCATTCTTGATGTTTCCCTTCGTGGGCGAATGATGACTTGGTAGTTTGTGAGCTGTGGCTTCTGTTTTGTTTCAGAGTTTGACTTTGTCATCTCCTTCACTGGAATTTCATTTTTCTTTCTGGACTCTCAACTCTCGAACCCAATGTTGACCGAAGCGTGCGGCGCCATGTCGATGGGCTCGGACGGTCGAGATCTGACTCTCCTGTCTCCAAGCCCCCAGGTGCCCTCCTTAGGCGGGGCAGGAGGTGGCTGTGGCCAGTGGACACAACTGTTGGACCTCCATCCCGGCTCTCCCTATAACTCCCTGTCCTCCCACCACTCCCTCATCAAGCAAGAGCCGAGCTGGGGGACCGCTGACCCTATGGAGGATCCCCACTGCGGACTCGGGGCCTTCACGTTGCACTTCTCAGGCCAGTTCACGGGCTCGGGTCCTTGCCGGGTGGGGGCCTTTGGAGAGACAGCGGCGAGCCAGCCCAGGGTTTTTCCCAGTGGAACCTACCTCTCCGGCTGTGTGGACAGCCCCCCTGCACCTAGGAACCAAGGTAAACATTGTCATGCCAACGTTATGCAGGTCTCAACAATGCAAGGGATACATGATCTTCTTGGAAACATGACGTCCTCTACTGTATGTTTGTTGGGTTTGTCAGCGGTGTTGTGTCTAGGCAGGATGTTATGTGCTTTGCTGGGACAACATGGCCTGTGTAAGGAACTATCTTGACACTTTTCTGGAAGCACTCTGACAGACACAGACAACATCCGCCATAGTCCTGCAGCACCGTAGCCTGCATCCTTTACATGAAATAATCACACGCACTTTTTAAATTGTTTCTCCGGAGCACAGTTTCCCCAAACACTTTCAGCTCAAGATGCAAATTACCCCTTTCATGCACCCTGTAACCTGATAAACTGTTAAAAGTGAACATTTATGAGAATATCCCTTTGTACGGTCATAATGTATAACAATCAACAGCCAATAAAAATCAAACAGCAACCCGAAGTTTGAGAAACCTTGAGCTAGAATTATACATTTTATTATACTTCTCTTAATAAACAATTGTGTTTGTAGTCCGCAGAGGTATACAAGTAGTCTGCATCATACTCTGACATTTTTCTAACATCTTGTACATTTACCTTTACATTTTCACTACAAAGTATAACAAACAGATGAGTTTTGTCCGAAAATTCCACTCGTGCTTTGTTGCACTTCATAAGCCAAGCAACCAGTTTAGTCTTGAATCAAAATAGATGCCAAATGTCTCAAAGCAGCACAACCCACTGCCTGTCAATAAAGAAAGGTGAAATCATAAGAATAACGTTACGCTTAACAACCTTATACAGTATATACAATGCATATGCATGAAAGTAAAACATTATACGAGTTGTTATTGTCTGTTGTGATTAAATGTTATTTTGTTTAAAATAAATTTGATGGGATTCAAATTTTTGGTTTAAAAAATATCAGTTCCTTAAGTGTTGACAGTTGTAAATTTTCATGTTTGCCTTATTCATTTCAGCTATAATTTATGATCATTTTGGTTGGTTTTTAAAAATGTATTTATTTATTTATTTATTTATTTTTAAATCCTGGTGGACGCTGAAATCTGGATTTGCAATCTGGATTTGCAATCTGAATTTGAGATTTTTGTATGCAATATAAATATGAATCTCAAACAAAGCTCCGTCAAATCTGCTGGGGCTCGTTACTCGGAGGTTAGAGGTTGAACTGCGGACGTGTGCGCTGATGTGACTTCCACATACCCTGTGTACGCACTTTTGTTCGCTCGCTAGTAAAGTACTTTTTGATGAAGTGATAAACTGCTCTGCAAGCTGCGGGGATTTAAGTCAGGGATTTTGAGTCTTTTTTTTTTCTGGAGAAACTTCTCAACGGCCCTCCAAGGACTGACATTTGAAAATTCCTAACTTCTGCATGAACTTTCCTCTTTGAGAAGAGCTATGTTCCCATTTTAATTGCTGAAATTTAGGTAGCATTGATGTGATTCATTATTACTGAACCTGTTTTTTTTCTGGGAATACCTTGATTTGTTGTGAATATTATCATCATAAGGATCAATTTGAGAGGAGGGGAAAAAAATAAGAACCAGGAATTTTTTTTTTTTTTTTTACATTTCGTGGTCCGATTATCCTTTTAAGATGTCTCTAACTTGGTTTTTTTCTTTAGGTTATGGTGCAATGGGCTTAGACGGGAACCCCAGTTACCCTCACACGACGTCCCACCACACCCCTCAGCTCTCCAGCCTGTCCTTCAAGCACGAGGACACACTGTCGCCACCCAACAACATTGGTAACAGTCTACTTCCTGGCACGTTCTCGCTTAAACTCACTCAATTACTGGAACACGGCTGCGTTCACAGCAAGGTCATAGACGTAGCCCATAATTCTTTCTTTTGTTTTTCCTGTCTCTATCTCTCTGATTCTCTGTCCGCGCTTCTAGCTCGGGTCACAGACCGAATGTAAGTCAAGTGTTTTTCCACACAGCTTTGCGTTTTACACGGAACTCTGCGTATTTATACAGTGAAACAGCATTCCACCGTCTGATACTTTGATGTGTGACATTGTCAGGGCCGGTGTCGGGCGTGTGATGCAGAAGATTCTTGGCCGACTGTTGCATTCTAGACAACACCGTGGAAGTGTGTTAAGCGTTAAACTTCACATGACAGTCCCTCACAGGCTGTGTATTGCCTCATTTATGGCTCTGATCACAGAAAAGGGAATATTGGCGGAGCTTCTTCCTCACCTACAAATTCTCCTATTTTTTGCTGCTACTGTTCTGTATCAAAGATGATGGAAAAATAGGCAGTGTGTGCTTCTGTATGTCTGTATTGGCCAGGGAAACATATTTAGTAATGGGATGATTCATAACAATCAAATCCCCCAAACAATGCAAATAATAAAATATACAGTAATATACAGGTAATGATTTTAATGTACAAGTAATCATTAGAGTGACATTGATAAAAAAGTTATTGTGAGGAAAAAAAAACTAATATATTTTTGAGAATTATTGTTTTCTGTACTGAGTAATGATTTGTAAAATGTATACTAAAGTTATTCTTTTTTACTTAAAAGGGAGTTTGCAATTTTAAAACAATAATAACTTTTGTCATACTTACAAAACAGTCATTTTGACTTGAATGTAGTGCATGGTAAATGTGGTCTGTGACAAAAATTTGCCATCTCTACCCCCATTTTGTGCCTCCAATTTGATATACGGTACAAGAAACCACCGCGCCCGAAGAAAAACAACCAATCAAAGACAGAAGGTGTGACTTATGAGCTGTCAATTCCTTGTCACGCTCTCGCAGGCAAATTCATCGCAAACACAAGCCCCATGGCCTCGCGAACGGAATACTACTTCAATCCAATAGTTTTGTGTTATTAGCGCAACACCCCATTATGAAGATGGTGCTTTTCTGGAATAGCAAGGTAGCAGGTCAACATGATGCCAGGTCATGTCATATTTTAACAAATGTGCCAACTAATTATTGATTGATTTATTTTGAAAATTGCAATGCAGGTTGACTTGAATTCATATTATAATACTACGACTTTATTCCTGGACACAAAACAATTTTCTTCAATTATGCTTGGCTAAGTTTGGTGTGGAAGAAGCCAGCGATGGCGAACTCTGACCTTTCCGAACTTCAAACAGACAAACTGACATACTGAGCACGTAGTCATCACCCAGCCTGAAGTTTGCGAGTACGATCCCCAGATCCCTGTGACTGTATTTAAGTGTCCTTTCGCAAGATTCTGGATCCCTCGTTCCTCCAGGTGCTTTTCATTTCTGATATTGATCACGTCCCATTACTTTTGTTCATGCAGTATACACTGTGAACCAGGCAAGCAGTGTTTCATTCATGAAAGTAAAATTTTAAACGACTCAATTACGAGACATTATTCTCCCACTGCAATGCACTGTATTAATGGAATTGTTTTGTTGTTATTTTCAGTTGAACAGCAATACCAGCCTCCTCCTCATCCTCCCCCTGCCCCTCCTGTATTCGGGTGCCACAATCCTGCAGAATCCTGCCCAAGCAACCAAGCACTACTGTTGAGAAACTACAACAGGTAATTGGTTTTCCTCCTCCCTGTGCATGCACGCTTCTTGAATCCCACCCACCGCAAAAAGCTTCCAGTTGATAATGATTATTTTAGAGTTGGGGACCCCTCCTGTGAATCCCAGTTCTTCTATTATGAAGTGCTGCCCACTGGTGCAACAAACATTTAGTGATCTACCTTGATATGTTTACTTCTACAGTGTGAAAAAAAGAGACATTAGTGATATAGAGTGGGCGGGGGGTAAGTTTAGCCTGAGAATGTGCTTTTATAAGTACTGTATCTGATTGTTTTCCCGATTTTTTTTTCATCTTGATGGAAAACATTTCTTCGGGTGAATTGTGTTGGAATTCTTTAAATGCCGAGTCGGGTTGTTTTGGGGAAAAAAGAGGAGCATGTGCAACCCAAATACTCAAACAGCAGATAATAAGAGGAGACGAAAGACTTTGCTGTTTTGTGTTACAACTTATGGCATGAGCTGGAAAAAGTCAAGTGAACGTGCAAATGTGTGTGCAGGCATGCACGCGCGCACACACACGCACACGTACACACATACGTACACACAAAGTGAATGTGTATGTCAGATAGCAGTGAGCCTTTCCACAGTCGACTGTAGTTCAGAGCTGATTATTATACTTCCTTCAAGGACTTCTCAAGGAATGAAAGCCAAAATTCTCACCCCCCTCTGAAACGTTCCCGCCTTTAATGATACCGAGGACAGAGTGATGTCATGCGGTGGTTCGTGGCGTACAAGGCACCGAGTGGCCCCCCCGGAGCCTCCCCCCCGCTCCCCTGCAGACAAACACAAACCCATTTCCAAGTGTGTGTGTGTGTGTGTGTGTGTGTGTGTGCGCACGCGCGTGCGCGCGCGTATTCGTGTGATATGCCATGGTAAAGAATGGCTCGTAGCCCATGTTTTTTAATGAGGAGCACGGTGGGCGTACAGGATGTGTTAATAAGCAAACCATTTGGAATCCCCCTTCATTATCTGCACAAAGGGAGAGGAGGGACACGAAGAACCCTCAGTATCATAAATATTGCCAGCATGCTCCTATTTAAGAAGACCCCCCCACCTCCCATTATTCTTTAAAAACAAATGAATATGAAACACGCTTATCGTCGCCTTCCAATAAGTGTCATTTTTTTTAACATCGGAAGCTGTTCAACAATTGTTTTTAGCTGAATAACGCCAACAAAACACTTCACCTTGACTTAGATGATAAGGGACCCTCATGCTGAAAAACGTAATCTCCGGTTTGTATTCTTCGTCTCTTGCCTGTGATTTTTGTGTTGCCAAAAGAGCCGAAGAAAAAAAACAAAATACATGCACTGATTTGATGCTGAACTGAGCTATAGCAAGGTAGTAGTATACGATGCACGTTGGTGTTCCAGGTTTTTGACTGTTGTGTTTGAGATGTACATACTGTGTGCCAAAGAAAATGCACCCCGACCAGAATACTAATGATTCAGATTCAGTTGCAGAATACTTTATTAGTCCCAGAAGGGCAATTCAGTTTTAGGGTCTACCCGTAGATGCTGTTTTCCAAAAAAATATATATTTGATATACAATATTTTTGTAATGTTTTTCAATAATGAAAATAGCACACTATTATATTGTGCTGTAAACATTTAGTGATCAACTAATTAAATAGAATGGAAAGTATTCAAACAGTTCATGATTAATGCATTATGGTGTACACGACTTGGCCACTTGGGGGTAGTAAAACGAAGTCATTCAGACACAAACAAAAAAGAGCTTCACAGCAACTGTGACTCAGTAAACTGCAGTAATATTAGCATGTTTTCCAGAGACGCTACTTTTTTTCCCAAGCTTTGAACCCTGTGTCTTTTAATGTGACATTGTTGATTTATGAATTTTTATTGACGAGCTTCAAGACATCAATAGCTTTATCCATAGTCTCGTCGCAGATGTCCCATGAAATTACATTACTGAGCACGTCATAGTGGGCTTATGAAAGTGTCCGAGGCCGCCCTCATACAAATATTCATCGGCTATTTGTGGTATAGCATGTACACGGCACACTTGAAGGAGGATCAGAGAGAGAGAGAGTTTGGCAAATGCGCAAATGCATGTCCGTTTGGGTGCACACGGCTGCTTAAGGAGCAATTGAGAGCAAAAATAAGCATCTTGAATTGAGTTTAATGACTATAGGTCATGAATGCCATAAATACAGCCATCTCTGCACTGCGACCCCGGTCTTAGCTCCTTGAAAATAATTGCATCTGTGTGACCTATGTGATCTTTGCAAATATCTCATATTATAACATAGAAACCCCCGGCTATTCATAAGAAGCGGTCAATATATGGACGAATTTGTTAAATTTATCTGTTGCGGCTTTCAATCAGGTGCACTTATTAGTGCGTAAATTACAATAGTTGTTTTGGGTGGAGGATAAAGAATATCTGCCTGTTAGTATTGTTCCATTGTCTGTCTACATGTGTTGCTACACGTATTGTGTTCAAATATCTGTTGTTTAAAGGCACTGCAACAAAGATGCATTTCGGTAGCCTGTGGAGGGTGTTTTGCATTGCATGTTAGCATTAGCACTAAATGGACTGAAAGTAACGCAATGTGGTTGTTTTGAATACACAACTTGTGATACTTTTAGTTTCATGTTTGACAGAAAACTGGTCAGGGCATCAAATATATTGAAGCCTGTTTTTGAATTGTCATCTTTGAATTGTTCACTATCAAACTTCTTGAGAAGTGAATTGAGTGGAGTTCTTCGCCAACATGCAACACTCATCTCAAATTCTTGCTCGCAGGTCAAGCAAAAAATATCTGAATGGCGGCGTCTATCTCAAAAACCTCGTAAGTCGGGTCACCCGTAACTCAGGGCAGTTAAGCAAAGTACAAGAATACATCATGACATGAACAATAACCAGGAGAACAGGATGCAGAAGAATTCTTTATTATTTTCTGCATGTTGCAGCCTTATGGCAGAAGGGATTTAAGAAATGTGCATAGCCGTTCGAATGCTGTACCAGCGACCGCCGACTTGAAATGTCTGACTGACCTTGTTAGCCTTCGACTTTCCCATTGCACAATTGTCCAATATTTCACCACAAGATTCAAGTGTGAGTCAGTGCGTTGTTGCTTCTCAACAGTGATAACCTGTACCAAATGGCGTCTCAGCTGGAATGCGTCACGTGGAACCAGATGAACACGCTTGCGTCTTCCATGAAGAGGTAAAGACTGAGTACTGTTTTTCTATAGTCTTAATGAGGGGAAAATACTGTAGGAGGGGAAGCCAGATGGCTGCTAGCCGGCTGCCGGCGTAAATCAGAAAGCGGAGATAAGGATAATAATGTTTGAATGTTTCACTGTGCAGGCTTGTACTTGTCTGTAAAAAAAAAAAAAAAAAAAAAATGGAGAATGATACACACTTCTTTAAGGACTTATTTAGAGGTCATATATTGGTCAGCATGTTTGTGTTGGACATGTGTGTACACCTACACATTCTAATAACATTGAATACAATAACTTTGTCCAAAATGTTTCCTTTACAGCGATAATACTCAATTTTGATTGACTTTGTCAGAGAGCTATTAATGTCACAAAATCTCCATTCCAGTGGTTGTGGTTACCTTATTAAGATATAAGTGAGTGGTGCTTATAAGAAATATATTTACTTGTCAACTAAAGTGCAGCAATAATTTTGCTGCAGCTCCACTGTGGGATGCCATTAGATTGCTCAGGTGTACCGAAAAAAAGTCAAACAGCATCTTTATAGGGATGGGATTTTTTTTTAAAACTCCAAATATATGAAAATCTTTTTTTTTTTTTTTTTTTTTTTTTTTTGCGGGCTTATTTTTTTTTTTTTTTTTTTTTTTTTTTGCAGGCTGAATTTCTTTTGTGTATTTTGTCTTTTAGCAGCCACACGACCAGCTATGACAGTGATCCCATAGCCCCGCCCCCGCCCATGCTGGTGAGCGCCCAGTACCACATTCACACACATGGCGTCTTGAGGGGGCTTCAGGTCAGTCAAGTGAATGCACAAGCATGCGCAAATGAGATAAATAAATAAATAAAATAAAATAAAATAAAATAAAACAGCACTTGAACGAACAATGCATGCTCTTCTCCTTTCAAAAGGATGTAAGACGGGTTCCCAGTCTCGCGCCCCCAGTTGTAAAGTCATCCGAGCCTGTTGAGAAGCGTCCTTTTGTGTGCGCCCATCCCGGCTGCAGCAAGAGGTACTTCAAACTTTCGCACCTGCAGATGCATGGAAGGAAACACACGGGTGAGTTTATCTCGAAATGTATGAATCATAATTGTTGAATTAAAATTTCCAGATGAAACGGAACAATATGACAAATACTTCAGCCCACGGCTGGGCAAACTTTTGAACTCCAGAGCCACATTTGTTTTTTGTTTGTTTGGGGTTTTTTTGTTTTTGTTTTTTAATGGCCACGTGAAAAAAAAAAGTTGAGTCGAAACAGTTGATTTAAAAAGATGCCGAAATAAATATATTTAAAATGAATCGTGAAAGCGGCGGCCCGATAGTCCAGCACGTCGACTTCACAGGGCAGAGGTTCCGGGTTCAAATCCAGCTCCGGCCTCCCTGTGTGGAGTTTGCATGTTCTCCCCGGGCCTGCGTGGCTTTTCTCCGGGTACTCCGGTTTCCTTCCACATTCTAAAAACATGCATGGCAGATTGATTGGGCACTCCAAAATTGTCCCAAGGTGTGAGTGTGAGCGTGGATGGTTGTTCGTCCCTGTGTGCCCTGTGATTGGCTGGCAACCAGTTCAGGGTGTGTCCCCTGCCTACTGCCCGAAGACCACTGGGATAGGCTCCAGCACCCCCCGCAACCCTTGTGAGGATAAAGCGGATCGGAAAATGGACGGATGGATAGTTTTTATAAATGTAAAATGTCCTAATTCACACCTAGAGGGTGTGCGCACTTGTGTAACCACGTTATCTCAACTGTTTATTTTTTACTTCCAGATACCAGAATTCTGTATACTTCCAGGTGAAGAAAAATGCTGAAAAATCATACAACAATGAAGTGGTTTAATTTACATTGCAGGGGAGAAGCCATACCAGTGTGATGTCACAGAATGCGGCCGCAGATTCTCTCGCTCAGACCAACTGAAACGACACCAGCGCAGACATACAGGTACTATAATGAAAAAAAACCAAAAAAACGCCATCTTGTTTGAGTTACTAAACATTGCTTTGCTCAAGTTGGTAATCATGTTTTCATTCGCCAAACGATTGCTAATTTATTGCACTGTCAAAATTGGGGGAGGCGTTTCAGAGTGCCAACAGCAATCGGCCAACCAGCGGGGAAAGCCTCCCCTATTACTTCCTGGTTGGCTGCTACACAAGCACTTAGAAATATGGGAAAGTGTGTGCTGCCCCACTGGTCACACTAAGAAAACCAAGTGCAGTGTGAAAAGGGATTTTAGTATTCGTCTGAACTGTGTCATCTTTTCTATTGCAGAATATGACGTCACCATACTGTCATCAGGAAACAATACGAAATGAAACTAATTTTCAAACCGTGTTTGTACAGGAGTGAAGCCCTTTGAGTGCGAGACGTGTCAGCGAAAATTTTCACGGTCAGACCACCTTAAGACTCACACTCGGACTCATACAGGTAAAACAAGTGCGTATACCTTTTTATCTTCCTCCACTGCATTCCTCTCCTGGTCGGCCTTATGGCCCTGGAGATGGTCAGCTTGATCATTGCACTCAACGTTTGAAATCGCTTTCTCATTCAATGCCCTTTACCCCCCCCCCCCGTCCTCACTTCTTATCCAGGCGAGAAGCCGTTTACGTGCCGCTGGTCCAACTGTCAAAAGAAGTTTGCCCGCTCCGACGAGCTGGTGCGCCATCACACCATGCACCAGAGGAACCTGACCAAGCTGCAGTCTGCCATCTGAGCAAGGAAGGTGGCGATGCCGTGTGCCAGCCAGTAGAGCGAGAGAGCCAGGTCAAAGGTTGTGGTGGCTTGCCAAATGTGCATAAGTGGAGGTCACAGCTGATGCCAACCCACCTCGACCACGACGCATTGGCATGGTCCGCAAGATGCATCTCAGCCAAAACTCTTATTGGGTCATTTCCACTGAGAGATTATTACCACTTTATAACTGAGCCCAGGATTAAAAAAAAAAAAAAGACTAGACACAAGGAAACAGTTGTTTGTCTATTTTTTATATCATAGCACACTTGCATTGTTATTCGTTTTTCTCGTACGGAAATGTGCTGGATCGTGTCAACTGGATTTAGGAAATGGACAGCGGTGACTTTTTGTTATGGCGGATGTAAACACACACAACACACGCCGAATAACTTTGTACATATGTGATGTATATATCGATATATATGCTTACTTTTATAGACATTTTGTATGGTGTATGTTTTTTGTGTAAGTCTATAAATGCTGATCTCCATCCTTCTTCGATGTGTGTGTTGGTGTGTGTGCGCAGTCAGGTTAAGAGGCCATCTATGATCGAGGTGTTTGGGGAGTGACGGGTAGTAAAACAGCACCCCGCCGAAGCTCTCACAGGGCGCAGATCTCACTCTCCTAAATCTCTGCCGCACATCTTCATAACTGAAAACATCTGGAACTCAATAAATCTCATTAAAAAAGACACATACCAAAGTGTCCCAACCTCACTGAGGGCCCCAACGTTCATTATTTAAATCCTTATACGTATTAAGTATTGTGACAAAAAAACGGAAGGGCATATTTTTTTGGGGAAAATATGCAAGAAAATGAAGCTTTGTGGTAAAGTATCGTGGAAAGATAATTCCATCACTGCTGGGTTGGCATTTGCCAGAAAACACAAAAATGTTCCGAATGGCCTTTGCACAGAGTGCTCACAGACCGCTACAGTGTACCTGCTGTTGGGTACATTGGATACAAAATGTCTACCCGGCCTAAAAAGCATATAAGAAGTCTGAAATTAATTTGGTGTTAATAAGAGCAACTTGTGTGCTGACTCCTGTTTAACCTGAGTTTATGTTAATTCTGAGGATAGCCACTCCCCAGTTATAAGCTGGTGTGCACATTTGTGCAACCAGTGTCTCAGTTGTTCATTGTTTTTACTTCCTCTCTTGAAAAGAGCTTTTTATTCCCAAATGAGTTTTAAATGGTATCGTCACACTAATGATGAATGGGACAAGCAGTCACAAACACTGGCCAGTGGCCATTTTGCTGACTTCAACCACTATGCCACGCCCCTTAAAGGCACATATTCAAGTTGCTGAGACTCGGCATGGCCTACATTAGTTTCTTTACAATCTCTTTTTTATATGCATTACAGTGCTCCTTTTTCTATTATTAAAACATGTGACATTAAAATTTGATTTTTTGGGGTGGGGGGGCGTGAATGGATTAATGGCATTTCAATTCATTTCAATAAGAATATTAATTTGAAATACTCATAAATCATGGCACCACTGTCTAATATATTCTACTTTTGGGCTAAGGATTTTCCCTGAACAGGATGGGTGGTTTAGAAAAGGGGTGTTCATACATTATGGCATGGATAAAAATTTACAGTCTAACGCTCAGGGGTCAGGTAGCTTGGTTCACCAGTGACTAGCACGTCTGACTCACAGTTCTGTAGTTTGAGGTTTGAATCTCGGTTCTGACCTTTTGACTGTGTTGAGGTTATGTGTTCTCCCCGTGCTTGTGAGGATTTTCTCTCTCTCAGGACAGAAACGAGGAGTTTTAGTCCATATTCAGTCAAGAAAGACATTTTACACATGGAACCACATGATGGCAGTGTCAGACTTTGTAGCTCAGTGCACCGCATTCTTCTAAAAACCGCTTGTATGTGTGTGTGTGTGTGCGTGTGTGTGTGTGTGTGTGTGTGTGTGTGTGTGTGTGTGTGTGCTTGTTCGTGTACGCGTGTGTGTGAGCGTGTGCATGTGCGTGCGCGCGTGTGTGTGCGTGTGTGTGCGTGTGTGTGTGTGTGTGTGCGTGTGTGTGTGCGTGTGCGTGTGTGTGTGTGTGTGTGTGTGTGTGTGTGTGTGTGTGTGTGTGTGTGTGTGTAAAACTTGAATTTCCTCCATTCAAACTGTGCTTTGTGTAGCCTTTATGCTACAAAGTAGACACATTAAATGTGCTAATAGTGGAGGAAGGAGAACCAGTCATCATCATCATCATCATCATCATCATCATCATCAAAGATGTATCTCCGTGGACAGACTTGTGGGACAGCACGTGCTGGACCTATAGGAGACCAGGTGACTCATCTGCAGCAGGTGTGTTAATAAAATAGGAGCTAATGTGGGCACTCTGCAGGCTAGTGATGTCATGTACCCGAAAGCAGCCACTTATCAACTTGAGAGCAAAAAGTGAGCCAAAAGTCACACCGGCAGTGTGTGTGTTATGCTCTTTGTGCTCATTGCAGCTGTTTACTGTTTTCTTATATTCCTGGTAGTTTACCGGTTACTTTCTACTGTAACCAAGTTTCCAATTGACCTCCATTAACACGCTCCTTCTTGGATTGCCGCTCTTTTTATGGAATGGCTGGTAGCTCCTGAGCAGGTATCAACGAAAAGCATGGAGTATTTAGCTAGTGACTGCATCTGCGCAAAACTTAAGGGTGTTCATTTTTTTTTCTGCAAGTCTGGACACGAGTAAGCAGATTGAAATGATTTCAGGGTCACAAGTTCTTCATTTGAAGGTGGTGATCCTGCTTGTTTTCCAATCCACGTAATGGCTGTGAGTTAGCATGTCCTTCATGTGGGGTTTTTTTTCCCTACTTTTTAATCCAATGCACTTTGATTAAGACGCACCTTTGCCTTTGTTCTCCCGCCGCGGGGAGCTGCCGGCAGGCGAGGGAAGATCACAGGGACGACCGACTTGAACATTTTACTCACTCCGCTTCACTCCTAACTGCAGGCTGCCAAGGCTATGTTGAGCACAAGGACCTCGTGCCTTTAAATACTCTCAGTCATTACCGCCGTCATTATCGCACACATTCAAAGAGATGCTAACCTCTGCATTGATCTCACAGCCCCCTTTGGAATCTGCATGATTGAAAAAGTTTCACTCCAAGTGAGTGAAGCAAGTACAAACTGCCACGGCTTGTATTCGGACAAACTGAGCTGTAAAAAGCACAGATAACTACAAAAGAAAACAAAACTATTGGGACACTTGGTAAGTGTACCAACAAGAACTCACTTTTTTTTTTTGTTTTGGTTTTTGTTCAGTGGTCACTGATGTTGGAAACAATCTTTCTGAATCAGAGGGTTCAAGGTCATCGTGTGCTCTGCGCAAGTTCTTCCAACTCATCCAACCAAAGCCTATTGGGACCCTGGATGCATAAAATGTATTTTGATACTTTTGTCCACATTAATTTGACATAAACAGTGCTCTTTTTTTATTTAACTTCCACTCCCTTGATATTAGGTGACTATTTTATTTCCATATGTCATTCAGTGAAGTCCCAGGTGCTTTCAATGTCTTCTAATGGCCAAAAGACATTAGTTATCCTCCATGTGCTGGAAAGGTCAGTGCACATGTAGCTCAGGGGGGCCGGTGGGGGCCCGGGTGAACCCCAAGGGACGGGGGCCGCTGAGAGCGGAAACTTACTTGGAGGCCTGCGTGTGAGGACCGCACTGCAACAACAGGAGGCGCTGTTAGGGTTTGTGGCATGTTAAGTCGGGCATGTTGTTTTCCCAGACAGCCTCGTTCCAGTCCCGCACCCCTCAGGCTCTTGTGCAGAGCTCTGTACAGTCTGAGGGGCCGAGGGGGTCTTGGGGAAGGGGTGCGGGGTGGTATTCCCTGTGGTGTAGCATGGAGCCTGAGGGCCTGCGGTGTGTCGGAGCACGGGGAATGCTTTGGCCTAGAGGGGCCTGGAGCTCAGATGGAGCCTAGAGGGTCATCTTTCTCACTCAGGGAGCAGATAGAGGAAGACAGCGAGGGGAAAACACCTTGAGAGGAGGCTCTCATGAGGATAAATACACATAAATGTGCACACTAGCATCATGAAGATTTTTGAAATTCCCTTCTCTTTTTTGCCGCCTTTCATCTCCTGGTGTATTCCGATGGAAGATGTTCACCTCTAACAGGATTAGGTACTTCTCCATCATGTGAGATACGAGATCACAAAGCGAACCAAGACCCCCTGGGGGAGAGCGGGATGAAGCACAGCCTCCTCTTCCTCCCTCCATCCCACAGGATTCCAGATGCTAGGAAGCGAGGAGCAGAGGAAGGAGGGAGCCAAATGTGGACAAATGGAGCGAGAGAAGCATTTTGTCCAAAGATATCAGTCTCATTGGGATAGCATGGTCTCCACTTGGACTGTAAGTGAAAAACAGCTCCAGTGTGTCTGAAGTTGAATTCCATGGTTTGGATGACAACATGCAGCAAGGCTCTGAGTGAAGCAGCAACACACTGGGCATTGTTTTAGGTACACCTCTAACATGAAGTGAGTGGTGCATTGTGTCACAAGTTACCCGACTTTTAAAAAGAGTCTGCTCGTCATTAAGAAACAAACTTATTTACCATGCTCATCTAAAAAGGGATACAATATATCATTGTGAAAGGTTGTGACCACCAAGAATTTGAGTCATCGATAATCTGCCGGGCATCTTTTTGGAATGTTGGAGGAAACCAAAGTACCCGGAGAAAACCCACACAGGCACGGGTAGAACAATGCAAACTCCACACAGGAAGGCCGGACCCGGAATCGAACCCTGCACCTATGCACTGTGAGGCGGACGTGCTAACCAGTCGGTAACCGTGCTGCTCCAGTTGTCTACAAGTGTGTATGAATTTCATACAGTAATATAAGGAATGAAATAACTTTTATTCTACATGTGTGCTGATTTGTCTTACTCAGGACAAAGAGTGTACTAGTACATGACCTATGCTCAACTGACTTAAGTGTATTCCGAGACGTTTTACTCAGTTGCAATTGGTCCAGTAACTCCACTAGAGGGAGTAGAGTGCCATGATGGGAGCGAGGAGTGACGAGCAGTAACCTCGGTGATGGCCATCAAAGATTGATGGACTCCTGCAAGCTGCATTGTCAAGGCGGTAAAAACATGAACGCTGCCCACATTGCTATGGCACGCACATACAGGCACACGTATTGCTCGCCTCATTTTCTTCTCCACTGCCGCCAACACTGTGGAGGCACAATGCTATGTTGAGCTTCATAGTGCAACATATAGATTGGGCTCAAGCATATTTGGGAAGTACAGACGTGCAGAAGTGCAGTGTTTCCCAATCTTTACTGAGCCAAGCCACTTATTTTGCATGTGAAAAAAAAAATGTCACAAAAAAGTACTGAAGATGTTCTTTCTGCCATGCAGTGGAAGCGCATTTAATCGATCACTCTATGTGGCTGGCATAGATAGATAAACAAAGATACAATACCAGGTCTGTATTCCTTCAAATATTGACCTAAAGTCTGCGATATACAGTGCAGTTAAAAAAGAAAGTAAGGTGACACAAAACATTCTCGAGCAACATGAATTGACGCAAATCCTACAGAAATATGTTGTTGTCGCATATTATTCAGATTATAATGTACACAGAAATGTTATCATATGAAGGGCAGAAATCCAGCCCATTTGTGGCTTCAATCCAAACAAGTCCTGAGGGCGGAAAAAAATTATGTACTCAAATTATAAAGACATGAGGAAGTACTAAGATATTCATAAGAAACTGGAGCAGGTTGTGATGACGCAGTGTGGAGGTAGTAGCATTATCTTGTATTTTCTGACTTTAATTAGTCGAAATAGCTGCATAGTATGACAAAAAGACAGTCCGGTATTTGAATAGATGAAGTGAAAATTTCAGCGGATGGCGCCAAATGGTCTCATGAGTCCGTTCTCACCCAGAGGGCTCATTATTATCAGCGTAGAGGGCTTGATCAAGGCAGACGCTCATATGAGAGACGTCCGAAGGCATTACACAAATGTGCATGTGCGTGCGCGTATGCACACACACACACACACACACACACACACACACACACACACACACACACACACACACACGCGCGCACACTCTCTCTCTCACAAACAGTGAGTGATTAGCGGGGCACTGTGATAAAGAGAAGGTCTGAGCGAACTGTTAAACATGGCCACGAGGCAGGCCTGGGTCCGGGGTGTGTGTACAGTCATTTATCCTCAGACTCACATTTTACACACACTCACCCACCTACAAACACACACACACACACACACACACACACACACACACACACACACACACACACACACACACACACACACACAAATGCACCATGACACATGACAAATATCATATGCTATTTACAGGAAGTCTATTAGTGTCTTTGGTTGACTAATTACTCAAATGAAGGATGCAAGAATGGGCACAACTGTAGCACTACCTCAGTGGTTACATGCTCGTTTTAAATACACGTCATTCTCTTTGTTTTACGTTTAGTTTGACAGTAACCTTCATTGAGAGTGGCTTTAAACAGCTTGAAGCCACCGTTTTGAAGGATAAACAAACTAATGTTCTTAAAAGGGATTCCGGTCAGAGCTCGGGATATATCGGCGGTTATATCAATGTATATTCTCTCTTGCCGTCAAACTCTCACTCACACTGCCACCAATAACGTTGTCCCCATGGGGTCACAAACTGATTTTCCTACAGCCGCTTGTACGGTCTACAATAAGGACGCACATATTGTGTGTTGTGTTGTATTATTTTGTTATGTTATTTTGACTTCAAGATGGCGCCGCGAGAGTGGCTGCCTTTACAGCAGCTCCTATACTTTTTGTTCTTCTACTTTCTTCCTTTCATAACTTTGCAGCTGTAAATTGGGAATTTGTCCATTATGAGATGAATAAAGGTTTTCTTATTCTTATTAGCTGCCAAAAACACTGGACTAGCTCACATTTATAGCTTTACTTGGATGTAGGGCAAGGGCAAGTTTGTGTGAGTTTTTATAAAACAATCATTGTTGTTTACGCATAGACCCCCCCATATTCAATCCAGCAAAATGTCTTATTAATTCAGCGGAGACCCAAGAAAAACAAGCTTTCCAGACATTGCTCATAGTGTGCTGGCATAGGGTCGAAGACTGCGGCAGAACAACACATGCATCGTGCTGTCCCCTTGTTCCTAATGAGTTTTATCGCATTGGTCCCGCTTGACTTGTCCTGTTAAGTGGCACACATATATCCATGTGTTCCACATGAGCAGGCAGAGGGGACACACTGGGTGGCGGAGACGCTTTCTCAGTTACATGGCACTGTTTTGAACGGCAACAGCCAGCAGCGAGAGCCAGTCAGCTTCACTCTGCATCTCTACGGTGCTAACGTGTGACGAGGAGTGTGTAGACGCCAATCGGTCGTGAGCGCCGACGACAGGGTCCATTTGTTCTTGATGTTCAAGGAGTTAAGAAGTCACAATGGAGACGGCGGAAAATTGTAAAGCAGGACTGCGCTTCATCTCCGTTCTAGACGGATGCCAAAATAGTCCGATTTTCTGGATATATTAGAAGAGAGTTTCTAATTCTGGTTACTCTTTCAAATCATTACAAACAGCTCAATATACAAAGTTCGTAAAGTAAATAAAGTGTCATGAACCGCCACATATTCACAGTTCAGAATTCACATATTTTTGAAATCCGTCCTCCATTATTGACTGAAAACTCAGCTATTTGCTGTTTTTGAGCGCAGGTCAACGCAATGAAATAACTTTGCCGCCATCTGGTGGAATTATGGTGCTATTGATTCATTTATGTTTCTCTCCCAATGCAGCTCCTCATCTATTCGTCTTCTTTGGAGTTACATGTTTTGACTGACAAGTAGATTGAAACGAATTTGTAGATACGTTTAAACATATTTGCAAAAACTAACGTATTTAAACGCATTTAAATGTACTTTCAAATATGTCCAAACATATTTGCACGCTAAATGCTAAAAATGCAAGGGGGTATTGTCTTGCGGATGCGATTACCCCGTGGCATGATGGGGACAAAATGTCAAATGGAAATCATGCACTAGAAACATAATAAATCATAAAAATTTCAAATAGACAATGTATACTTAATTTTTTGATCATACTGGTAAAGTGTAGGGCAAATGCTTTAAAAAAAACCCTCTACGACTTGCACATGCACGAGTCAGTAGCCTGTGGTATGATAGAAAATATACTTTACATGGACGGTATGTTTGAACATAGTTGTGAATTTGTTTAAACATCTTTAAACACATTTGAATGTACTTGCCTACACATCAAAACATATTTGCCAATTAAAACTTTCACTCCACATTGGCAGTTCCACGCTTCTGTCGGTAACTGCCCCATGCTTGGGGTACTCTGTCTCTCTCCCGAGTGTTAAAAACATGCTTATTATGATTCTAAATTGTCCATAGGTGTGAACGGTTGCATCTCTGCCATGTGACTGACTGGCGACCGATCCAGGGTGTGCCTGGCCTCTCACCCACTTTAATTTGAGATAGACCCCAGCTCACCCGTGACAAGAGCTTTCGAAAATGGTTGTGCAGGGGAACCACCAAAGATGAATGCATCTCAACCGTCTTCTGTGTGAAGTCAGCATGAGCTCATCATTTGAGAATTCAGCTCAGTATTTTCTATGAGGTGGTGATGGGGGTGGGCGGGGGGAGATCATTATATAACTTGGTAGTCAACCCATGCAAGACAGATTCAATGGAGACCAAAACGATACGTGTTTGTTTGTTTATTTGTACACAACTGAGCTTTCCTTTTTTTCAATGTGGAAATACAAGAAATGTTACTGCGTGCCACTCCTCGCTAATGTGAGCTATTAAAATAAATGTGGTGTTTTGAAATAATGAAACACAAACAATAAAAGATGGTAGGGTAAGGAGACATTTTTGGCCCTTTTAACAAATAAATAGACGTAAAATCGGAGTAAATCTTTCATGAGCTAAACTACGTCAAACAAACCATGATGTGCAAAGACACTGCAGTTAAAACATCACTGTACATCGTATCAGAAAAACAGTTCAAACATTAAAAACATTTTTCACCAACGCACACTGCCTCACCAGAGCCAAAACGTAAATAAATAAACTTGAGTTCTTTGAACTACAGTTTCACATTAACGTTGTTATCAAAAAGTTATTCATAAAGCTTGTAAGGCAGCGAAGCCGACAAGTCGGCGAAAGGCACCAATGATTGGAAGAACGTCATCTTTCTGTTCCTGAATGTCAGAAACAGAGCAACACATTGAAACGTTTTTCACCTTTTTGTGTTAGTGGTAGGACCGGCTCGGATCAACAAGTCCTCCAACTTGTTGGTTACCGACAGTGATGGTTCTTAAACCAACAGTGTGACATAGAGAGAGGGTCAAACAAGACTAGGAGATTCTGCCATACAACATATCAATTCAACCTCAACACGCACACATTAGAAGCTGAAGTGAAGCTCAAAGCTCATCATGGTTCCTGGTGAGGTCCTCTCCGTAGTTGGTGGCTTGACTTCCGACAAACATGTTCCAATTCTCCAAGATTTCTTCTTTAGTCAGCATCTGGTCCTGAAAACAATGTCATGTGAATTACTGTTAGGGCTGCATACATCATTTGATTCAATCAAATAATTTGTTTTCGAAAAAATGTTGAGGCAAAATCTTAAAATCTTTACAGGGATCATTTTTCCACACGGGCTAATGTTTCTGCAATCGCACGTACCATCCCGTGCAGAAATAAGGAGTGCAATGTAGCCCGTTATCGCTAGTTACAACGTATGGAAATGGCCTTGCAAGTTTTGTCGTGGTTAGACACAGACAGCCATGCACTTTCAATCACTTTCCTGAACTAACGGTAAGAAATCAAAGATGTGATTGACGCATTCAAACACCAGCTGTTGATGGCCACAACTCACACCGAGTCACTTAAAACGCAGGCGAACAGATTAGTCGGTTTATAGTCGCTTATTCTCTGGCACCAATGTCACTCATCAAGGCAGCCACCGCCTTTTAAATCCATATAAATCGCAGATCTTAAAGTAGGAAATAGACGACAATAAAACATGCACCTCACCTGCACGTTATGGTGTCTGATAATGCGAAATTAACTTTTATCTGAATACTTGATCATCAGAACAATCCTCGATCACTGCAACCTTACAATCAATTCATGTAATACTAACTGGACAAATGAAGTTTCATCTCTGATATATTGAATTTGTAAAAATATTTGGGATAAACTTATTATAATTTCGTTAAATTGTTTATTTGGATCGTCGAGGAATTGAGGCAAATTGTGTCCAGTATCGATTTTGTTTGAACTAGTTAGCAATCTAAAGAACAACCTGACGTCAGCTAAAGAAAATTGAGCTACATCAACACAGACGTCATCCCAGCAGCGTTATTCTGCTCAGCACAATCCAGGCGTTGTGAAGGAAAGTCACACACGTTGTACAAAGCACACAAAACACAAAATGGCAGGCCGAGAAGTTGTACCTTGTCCTGGTCAGACTCGTAGACCAGGTGTCGCGCCTCAGCCTGGGCATGGTCATAATTTTGCGGCATAATCCATTGGCGGATTTCATCCCGGTCCATTTTACCGTCTTTGTTCAAGTCTCTGAAGTCGGAGAACTGATCCCTCTCGGTCTTGAGCCAGTCTGGCTCTGGGCCGCCGTCTTCATGGGCATACATGTCGGCTGAAAGCGGATAAGTCGTTTGTTATGAACATAACATTCCAAGTCAAACCCTCCAAATATGGTACAATAATCAATAAAACGGCATTTTGTACTCAATTTCCGGAAAATTCTTATTCAATTTCCATTTGTTTCCCAGTCCTCTGTAATGGCACTGAAGCACACTTTTGTTTCCAATTACTCAACATAAACCTGCTTTGGTTGAAACTGATTGCTTGAACTCACCAACGTACTCGTCCTCGTCCACATGTCCGTCGCCGTTCTTGTCAATGTCTTCCAGGGTTTCCTGCATTCGACACAACGAGGTGATGTCACTAACGAGGGTCAACAGCAGCCGGAACGTTCACTTGGACGAATAAAGACAGAAACAAGTTGCCCTGGGCAGTGCGACTCAACATGAGGGTCACTTTACAGCTGGGCTGGCACACTGGCGCTACAATTACAAGGAGCTCTGCCGATGTGGAATAACACATTCCTACCACATTTAAAGCATGTAGCCAAACACCTAAAGATGTCTTTGTCCACTGTGAGATGAGACATGAGGACATTAGTGAACAACCGCATGCCAACGTATCCGGCTTGCAACGCACGCACTCATCTCCACACGCGATAAACTCACAGATGCAGATTTTTCTGTAGGTGAGACACCCACTCGGAAGACTGATTAATATTTAACAGACGTGTAGAATACATCTGACTAATAATAAACAAGCTCCATCAATATTCTAAACTTAGTCGGAATAGTTGCATGTTGGAGGAATGCTCAGTAAGAACTAAATCAAATCATTTGCACGCTACAAACATACTGTACACACTGTAAGAAACTTTGCTGGAAATGTCAACATCAAACCTAAACAAACGAATGCATCTTTTTTAGCACATTCGGTTTGAGTTGGTGTGTATAATTAGAAACATGAGGTGGATGATGTAAATGGACGTTTTTTTTTTTTTTTTTATAAACAGGACAGTACTTGTCTGATGTTCTGATGTGAGATGAATAACAACATTGTTAATTCACTGCAGCTCTTCTGATACGCATGACTAGGCCACAGGGGGGCAGTATTATAGAGTCGTGCAGACAAAAACAAAGACGAGTTTCACAACTACAATCAGTGACTATGTAGTGTAAACTAGAGTAAAATTATATGTTTTTACACATAGGATAAAGCATATTTACCTCTGAATATTGTTATGTCTGTCTACATGTGTTCAGATGTTTGTTGCTTAAAGCCTTATAACACTGCCAAATTGATGCTATTCCTTCGTCCGTCTATGGCATTTTGCATTGTTCGTTATTATTTAGCTAGGCAGGCATTTATAAAGCAAAGCCATGTGGTCGTTTTAAATCTACACATGTAATTCTCTGTTTTATGTGTAGCTTGTAAGCAGATTGGAAAATGTGTGGAGGCATGTTTTTCTTGACAGTCAACTTCAACTGACCAAAAAAAAAAAAAAAAAAAAATGAAACACCTGACAAAAAAATATTCGCTTGTCGGCTGGTAAAGCTCAAACGTCAGGTCACTCATATTTCAAGGCACCAGTGATGCACCACCCACCTCCTCAAAAAAAAAAAAAAAAAAAAAAATAGTAATAACATGGCACAAATATTTTTTATTCTTATTTTAAACCTCACCACAAGATTCAAGAGAGTCCATTATCATTAAATGGCTCAGTGATGTTGGGGCTCAGTCCCCATTAGGCTAAACTGTCCAATGCAGCTAACCTGCAACCAAGCCTTCTTTCAAGTGTCTTGTGGTGCATCACGAGTGATGTGGTGTGTCAAAGAAGGTGTTCCAACAGAGGAATCTGTTCCAGCAATTGGACCATATGGCTACTGGAAAAAAATGGATCGATTATTAGTTTCAGCCATATTTGGCACTATCGGAGAGATGCCACAGGCTGAACAGTTGCTCAGTACCATTTGGTGACATCATAAAAATGAGCCTTTTAATAATTAACTCTGTCAAATGGGTAGTACAACTTTTATGAACACGGCAGCATAGTGCCTCACTGCGAAACATTTCCCACGCAACTGTTCCGTGAGGCCAAATTCATATTTAACGATAGAGTGTTAAATGGGACAGCCAGTCCGTCCCTCTGGACGCTCTCCCCCAAAATATACAAACGATCATTTGAAGGGCAGACTTAAAATTTGATTTGGAAGCATCAGAATTTTGCATATTTATCAAAGCAGCCCATCTGATGGGACCTGCCGCAACCAGCACGTGCCTCTCTATAACAACGTGCTCAGAAAAAGGCTCACCTGCACCACAATCTCCTTCATGTGGTCAAACTCCTCAGGGTGCAGGAAGGCTGTGAACTCTTCCCTGTCAGCCGCCTGGTCTCCGTTCAGATCAGCCATTTTGAACCTCCTCTCATCGCGGGGAAGCATCTTCTTGAAGCTGAACTGGTCTGTCGTATCGTCAAACTCTTCGGGATTGGCTGAGCACATGAGAACAGTTTCAATTAGATGAATGCCCCGCGACCATTTTGCCCCCGAAGTATGAGACAAAACGAGAAAATTTTTCATTCACTCGCACATGTGTGAATGGTAAAATCTATTGATTTTTCTTTTTTTGTGTGGAGGAAATGAAATCACTTACTCCCAAATAATTTGAGCAAATGTCCTATTTGAAAAGTCATCATCAAACTGGTAGATCTTCGCATTAATCAGTACCACACAAGTAGCGCACAATTAAAAAAAAAAAAAAAAAAGGTTGGAGACCCCTGGTTTCGAAAATCTGTTTCCGATTGGGGTTTATTTGAGCAAATTCCTTCGAGGAATTCCTTAAAGTGTGAGCCCTGGGATTCAAACCAAAATTGCCGACTTCCTGTTCAATTTTCGGCATGGGTTCTTCAGACATGTCCATGCCTCCTGTAATGATCGAGAAGTGCACCCAATTTTGTGTTGCGTGGCCAAACTGGTGTCGGGGGATTTTTTTTTCAAAGCTACCAGAGGGGTTCGACGAAATGAATTTTTGGGGGTGGTCTTCAAGAGCCCTAAAATACACCAGGATGCACCCAAATACAAATGTGTGATTTTTTTGTGCATGTTGAGTTGATTCAGAATAAGAAAAGGACCAGGCCCCAATTATCCTGTGAATTGATGATCCCGAGGAGTGTGTTTCCTACCGAGGTAGTATCCATATGTGGCTTGCTTGTATTCTTCCCAAGAGATCTTGTCGTCTTTGTTGAGGTCATAATCTGCCCAGACCTTGGCCACATTCTCGTAAACGTAGCGCTTCTGGACACGTTTGATCCACGCTTTGAGCTCATCTGTGGTGATGAGGCCGTTGGCATCGCTGTCGATCCGCCCCACTATTTTACTGGAAGGAGAATGCCCCCCCCCCCCCAAAAAAAGCAAGTTGAAACTCCATCAGTGCTGGGTTACAATTAACACCACCTCCCAAGATTTTATGAGCTACAAGCGGATAGCCTGACCAAGATAGTGGAAACCGTTATGTCCTACAAAACACGTTCTAGATTGTGTGTGTGTGTTAAAGTAGTAGTTAATTGAAGGCTTATAATCACAGTGACATTGCTGCTATCTTCCGCTAGCGTGTTCACAGCATTTAGCATTATACGTTAGCATTATGCTATCTGACTTTGGTTATCAAATGTTTTGGTTGAACATTGTGTCATTTAAATATATGCTGTTGATTGTTATACATTTTGATGTGTCCATTTTACAGGAAACTTTTACTGGCAATGAAAAATAAAAAGCCTGATGCAAGCACGCTTTGTCTCTTTTTGGGAAAACTGTGGAAATGAGGCTTTTAATTTCCTCAAAGTGATATTATAAGATAATCTTCCATTTTAGTGACAGCAAGATATTGTCAACAGGGCATGCATTTCAAAACTGTTAACACTTAAATTGTTTTCTGTATTTTATGCCATGAGAGGAGATTGAACTTCAGATGGGGAGTTGGAGTGGGAGGGGCGGCAGCCCAATTTAAGCCAAGTATTCTTAGAATCCAGTTGCCACGTTGTGATGTACGAAGGGGTTCTCCTACTCTCACAGTAGGCCCCTTTCGCCACGTAGGAGCCGACAAAGCATAAAAAGAAACAATATCATGCGTTTGAATGAAGCATGGCGTGTATGTTGCGGCTACGATAATGCTTCTTTCATGATGATCCATAATTAAAATCAAGTCATTAGGTGTGTAGGAATATGCCGGCGGCACAATAATAAACTTTTCGCATTCGCTGACATGCTTTGCACATATTTGTCGTGCACTCGCGCTTTGTTGATAAATATTAATGAAGAGTTACACGCGAGGCATTTGTTCAGCTGGTGTAGTGTGGAGTGAATGTGCGTGATTTACAAGCAAAACTCACGCTCACACTCGGAGGCTCTACTTTGGCGGAGGGTGTGAAAGGGGTCAGGCATCCTGACTTACCCGAGCCTGTCTTTGCTCTCCTCCGGGGTGAGTTGATCGAACGTCCTGGCCTCCTCCTTGCCCAGGAAGGCCTCGTGGTCGTACTGGAAGCTTTTGTTGTCTTCCTGGGTCCTCTCGTTTAGGTTGGTTTCGTGAATAACTCGCTCTTTCCTCGCGGTGGGCTTCCCGTGGGCCGCGGCGGTGCACAGCAGCAGTGCGCACACCAAGTTGAACGTCTCCATCAAGAACGAACACGGTCTTTTGTGATAAGAAAACCACTGGAACTTCACCCCTTCCGCTTCTAAATGGTTTCACTTTTGCCGTTCAGTGCTAACCACGCATCTGCATTAAACAGCTTCAATTGTGGCACACTAAGGCCAGAGGAGACGGGTTTGCAAAGACCCCGGTTGCAATGTTTTACGTTTTGACGCAATCCAGTTTGCCTGTGGAAGGGACAGAACCAGGCGGTAACTTCCGGTCTCCTCCTAGCTCGCCAATCAGAGCGGAGCTTAAAAGGGTCTCACCCACGCTTCTCTGTAAGAACACATGCCATTGGTGAGCAGGACGCGAGAGGAATTTCGGCGCCACGTTGCAAGCTCGCTGCAGCTAAAGGATGTGGTTGCTTATTGTGTGATTTGTGGATGTTTTTTGGCTCTCTAACTCAGAAATCTACGGAGCCCCTAAGGGGACATGGAGAAAAAAAACCACTTTGCTTTCCCTCGCAAAGTTTTGCATTCCCTCGCAAAACCTTGCATTCTCTCGCAAAGTTTTGCGTTCCCTTGCAAAGGTTTGCATTCCCTCGCAAAGATTGCATTCCTCGAAAAGAATGCGAGATATCGCAATCTTTTTTTTCGGGGGGGGGGCGCTTTTGTTTCAATGCGTGATTTTGTACTTCCGGGTCAGCTTGGCTCATGTCCGCTTCACTCTCATGCACCGCTGATTGAGAGAGGACGCTACTTCAGAATGGAGAGAATCATGGAGGAGAATCAAGAACAGATTTAATGTCTTTGTATTTCAAACCAATTATCAAAGTAAAATTCAATGAAACTCGCCAACGGGTGAAAACATGCCATGTTTGTTGTTTTCAGTTACCCGGACGATGACCCGGAAGTACACCAAGCCATTAAAAAAAAGTTTGCAATATCTCGCAATCTTTGCGATGGAATGCAATCTTTGCGAGGGAATGCAAAACTTTACGAGGGGACGCAAAGTTTTTTATTCTTCCATGTCCCCTTAAGGGCTCCGTAGAAATCAGCCACAGCATCATACTGCAAAATGAAATGTGATGTATGTTTGTGATTAATTATTTATTTCCTCGTTGTGTCCTGGTTTGCACCATCTAGTTTATTTGAACACAATTTGGAGCCCCCAATAATTTGACCCGAGTCGTGTGTGTTTGAGTCAGGTGAGAAGCCTTTCAATTTAGTAAGAGCAATGTTACGTTGAGTACTGAAAGGAGACTGGTCAATGACTAAAAGGGCAGCTATCACAGTACAAATTAGAAAAATAGGTAATTGTAGGACCCAATATCAAAGTGACCAAAGGATGACAAAATGTTTGATTTGTTAGTCTTACTGTGCTTTAAAATTAACGGGAAGTGATTAAACGTAGGCTCCAGCACGCCCGCGACCCTTGTGAGGATAAGCGGATTAGAAAATGGATGAAAGGATCATTAAACTTTCACAAAGACCGTTTATCACGCTGACTATTTTCCTTTATTTTATCCTAAGATACGAGCCCGCAATTTCAAGGCTTGAAATGTCTATATTTTTTTCGAAAGGAGCAGGTTTTCCAATCAACAACTTTTTTTTTTGGGGGGGGGGGGCAGTAAGGGGAAGGTTCCCAGGGATGTTACTCTGATTGGCTGTTAGCTAGCAAATGCACGAGAAAGCAACAGCAAATAAAATGGTATTATATAGTAAATTAACCTCAGCAAAACGTTACTTTTTACTTGATCCTGTTTGTATTAGCCAGCCGGCCAGTATAAATCACAATGCCAGTGCGGCTCTTCTTCAAATACTTCATTGTGCTGTATTAAGACATTTTTAGATTATTCCATTTTCAATTTAGTTGGGCAACGGCGACTCAAAACTGCATCACATATACGCTGAACAAAGAAAGACCATTTTTTTTCTCAACACAATACCTTCTGCTGTAACTTGGCCACTGTCCCACTTAATGCAGAGATCCAATTTAGACGACAGTTTTATCCCACACTTACTAAACATGTTTTGTCATGAAATTTGCATATGGTGCATATGTCAGCTAATGATTAAAAAAAAAATACATCAGAAAAATTAGGAGAACGAGAGTGAATCATGAATCCCTTTGCAAATGCCACGCTTGCCTGTTTGACCATCAATCATAATTTTATTGATCCATAGACATTTTTGTGTGCCTTTTACCATAGATACACTTGTAAATGGAGTAAATGTCCATAGGAGTCGAGGTGGTCCATGTTTGTTAACTCTCATTGTGCGATGTTTTCAGTAAGTCTCAAAACAAGTTTGCTTGGACAGTGGGTGCTATCAGCTCTACTTGCAGAAGAATCGCATTACTCATCGACATCTCAACATGCTGTAATGTGGAAGAGCACAGTCTGTAGCCTCCAAACAACTTGCTGACACTGCCATGCCTAATCCTCAGTCGTGGGCAGGAGAAACATGTATTTTGCCATTCGACATTAGCATAATAAGCCAGCACATGGCACATTGCTGTTTTGCATAAATCGTACACCCTAGTTTATAAAAGGGCCCTGAGGCTAACTAGGCTCTTTATTCAATTAATGAATACTTCATGTATTTAAATTAGTCCTGCCTGGTCAATTCAAATTAGAGTGTCATCAGACGTGAACAAATACAAAAGTGTGTGTGTGTGTGTGTGTGTGTGTGTGTGTGTGTGTGTTTTACCCTTGTTGTGAGATACATCCTTTAAATTTACAGTGGAAACTCCAAAGGTAAATATCACCAAAGTTGTATAATTTAGCGTTTAATCAAAAATGTATTGAGGTGGTGGGGTGGGGTGGGGTGGGGGACCTAAATAGTGAAACAAAATTGTATTTGGACCATTATTGTCAATAATTCTTGTGAGACTTAAGATCAGAGAGAATCTAAAGGACAAAAACTATGTGTTATGTCTGTGGTTCTCAAACATTGCAGACCATGAAACACCCAAAAAATATTGTTGGCTCAAATACCACCACTGTGACCAATATTTCAATACAATAGCTTACTAGGTCTAAGTGTTGATCAAAAGTGAGGCAGAATTTGTGTTTCTAAAAAGTATTTTTATGTTATAGTAAGACACTGTAACATTATGCAGTTTAAACATCAATGCTGTACTTAAATATAGGAAAATTAAAAAAATAATAATTTAATAAAATCTGGGTTTACATGGTGACTTTTCTGTCATTTTAATTTAAATCAACTGAAGATCTGTGGTCAACTGTTTGCATATGACGTGATCTATTCCGATCTGCTGTTTACACGCGCCACTACATTAAATCAGAAGAGCTGTGTGACACATGGAATTCAAAAGGAATATACAACCACCGTGAATCCGAATGAAATTCTAATCGTATAAAGCCTTTTCATTCCAATTGAGGTGTTTATATGGAGCATTTTCATTCCGTATTGTCATTCAATTTCATTGTAATCGGAATGCAAGTCTCCATGTAAACAGCTCATGACATGTTTTTATTAATATTTAACATGATGAGTCATTAAAGCAGGAAAACCCAGCTGTTAAAACTTTAGCTGTAAAGCTAATTTTTATGGAGTTTTTAGCCTGTTGGTAAGTTTGCATCGATGTCAAACAGCAGTAACGTTGCCCGAAACAACTTTAAAATGTTGCAGGGAGGAAGTAAAAGAGTGGCTTTCAACATGAATATTTCACTGTAGGAAAGCACGGGTAGGGGGGTGCGCAGCTACAGGGATGTTCAGTTAACCATGAGATTACACACACACTCTGCAAAAGGCATTTGGTTAATGTAATTAAGAAAACCCTATGGTGGGAGACACACAGCATTAGTGTCCAGGACAGACTTCTGTTTTGGCCTTCTCCTGGCCCACGCTCACAACCACACATTGGAGATTCTATTAATTTAATTTACTAATCATTGTTTCCGCTTCACGAGCCTCCGAGTTTGTGTAAACACTGGGTATTTTATCCGAGTATGCGATTATTATAGCTGCATAAATAACTGAGCTTTAAGGCTGTGGTTGTGATTGAAGGCAGAATATAGCGTGAATACGCGATACGCAAATGTTTTAATTAGCTGCTCATATGTCATTTCGACCTTAACGCACCTCTTGTTGATTATTTAGACCCAATGCAAAACTGTTTTTAGCTCTCATGCAGCCACAATTGTCTAGATTGTTGCCATCAAAATTGAATCATAAGCTTCATCTCCGTTACCGTGGTTCATGTGTTCACCTGTTTGTTTAAAACTTAAGAAACCATCCAAATGATTTGAAATGTGCCAATTTTACTAAATTAGTAGCTACAGTCACTTATGAGCATTACTGCCAACGTATGAGGAAGGATTGAGCATTCAATGCAAGTACTGGTAAATGTTTCCCGCTAGCTACTGTGAGCTAGCTATTGTGAGCTAGCAACTTTAGCTGTTGTGTTATGTAGTTGTGACTAAAGGGAGTTGGCTAATCAACCAGCATTGACTACAAATGCTTGTCAACCTCAGATTTGTACTTATTACAAGTAATTTTCCACTGATATAATTTACTCCTTCCTTGAATTAAAGTGTGATTGAAGAATGTGCAGATAAATATTACTTCTGCTTTCGCGACGTACTTCCCGTCACGTAGCTAAGTACGGCTACCTCTCCGTGGTATGTTCTTTAATACTCCACTTTTTTGTCCACCAGTTAAAATGAATGTAGGTTTAGCCATATATTACCAAGCAGCTGGGACAGAGATTAGTGTTCAAGCAATAAATTCTGTGGGGTTTTTTTTGTTGTTGTTTTGTTTTGTTTTTGTTTTTTTGGGTGTATGTCATAACTTATTCCTGCTCATTGCCATTCATCTTCTGTTGTGTCATCAAAATCTCAAGATGTTTACTGAGCTGTCTCTATGTTGAAAGCTCATAACATTTGCAAAGGTAGGCTACTGAAAATGGGTCTCTGGCTCTGGGCTTTTGTAAGTTTTGAGTCACAACTTTTGGTCAGATTCCAAAGGGCACAAAATCACACCATAGCATACAAATCAATTTTTGTGCCTTTTATCCGTGAACATTTTATTTGCACCAACTGGATTTTGTTTAGCCACCGTAATGATCATTTGTGTATTCTTTCCAGCCTTCTTCTTCTCGACAAATTGGCAGTGTGTTCTTTGGATGCCTTCTCTTCCTGCAGGTTTGGGGGTCAGCCAAAGAATGTTTATTTGACTGAACAATAACAGCGAATATATGTCTCTCATCACACAATTACCCCTCCGCCATTTGCCCCCTCCTCACCATTCTGAC